GAATGACAGAGGACATTTCTCACGCGGTTCACTCAGGTCACTTGATTAAAGTGGTGTCTGCCAGGCCTCTCCTTTGTAAAATGGCTTTTCCCTGTTGTTATTAGTCTTTTGCGAGAAACTACTTTGAAATTACGTAAAAAATCTCATCCCACGTCAAACTTTCAATTTATTCACGTGTTTATTTATATCATTAGGACTTGGGGTTTCCTATTTTATTCAATGCGTTATAATCCCCTTATAACATTCATTTTGACGCTCAAGTTGTCCCAGATTTAGCTAGTAGAAGCCCTTTCAATCTGGCTTCTGTGTCTCATTGACATGTCTCTGTCATTCTTTGAGCATTTTCTTACTTTTTAGCACAAAAGGTGTTCCAGGTTCACCTTTCCCTTCCTAACCCCAGAATAATCCATTTTTCAAAGGAACCCTAGTTCTTCTTAGTGGAATATAGTATTTAGAAACCGAGATCTGGGTGGTAGGGGTACTTTTTCTCATTGGGCTGTCACTGTCATGCAGTCGCCTCAGACAACGTTACACAGGGTTCATCAGAGGGTTCATTCTTGTTCTCTCCCTTTTTTTTATCAGTAACTCTTTTCCACAGTGGGATGTCTGGCTCTCACTCTCTTTAAGCATTTACTTATTTAACTGCTCTTCCCATCTATAGCTAATCTTCCATAGCTACCACCACCCCCACTTATTTCTCAGATTGCTTCGTCTACATTTCTTTTTTGGAAGAATCTTTTATTCTTTTTCCTTTTTCGCCATTGGTGTTCCCCGGCACGCTGCCCTTGATCGTCATCTCTTGGTCTACTATTACTCACCCCCAAACCAGGAAGGGAATAACATTTATATCCAAGGGTCCAATTAATAACAACATACTGATGTTTAAAATTTTTACTTTCAGCTCTCCAATCTCAACATCAATCCCCAACGTTTTACTGAACATGGTATCGGAATATCTCATAGCTAACAATAATAATCTCTAACACTTATTGAGAGGAAGTTCCAGACACTATGCTATTTGCTTCACATGTCTTGCCTCTAATCTTCAAAATAATCCCATATTATAGATATCATTTCCTATTTTTTACATCTGAGGTTAAATCAAGTCATTTACACAAGCTCGAACAGTTAAAAAGCAGTAGCTTTTTAAAAATCTGGGATTTGAACTCAGAATCATCTAATACTAAGCTTATGCAACTACCTCATCTGTAAAATGGAAATATTATAATACCTACTCTTTACGAGAATTAAACGAATTAGTACTTATAAAGTACTTACAACAGTATCTGGCCCATAGTAAAAATTCAATAAATGCTGGCTATTTATATTATCATTATAGGATGCTGCCTCTCCATTCATCTCCCCATGTCCTTGCTTCCTCTCCTGCCTTCCCCCAAATCCCCTCCTTCCTGTATACCAGTGACCTAACTATATACCCAGCCACTCGAGACACATGTAGAATTGCCTTTGACTTTTGCATCTCCTTCATCTCTCCACATATAGTTGTTTGTCAAGTCTCACTAATTTTTCTCTAAGTTGTCTCACCACCCCACCTCTCTAATTAGGCTCCCACATTTATAGTGATTACAATATCGCTTACCTCATCTTCCCCTCCAGTCTCTCCTTTCTCTGTCCATACAGCAGTTTTCTACACCCACTATATGCCAGGCATTCTTTCTAAAACACAGATTTGATTATATCCCTTCTTTACTTAAAAATTTAAAAAACAACAGCTTGTTGCCTATAGATTTAAGCACAAAATCTTTAGCATAGAATTTAAAACATTACGTAATCTGGCCCCTGTACTGCAATTTCCATCATACCCCCAAAAGCGATATCCTGTGTTTCAGCTGCCTCAGACTACTGGTCATCCTTCCACACATCAGGACGGTGCACTTCTCCATGCCTTCGCTTCTGCGGTTCCCTATGGCTGGAATTCCTTTGCTGACTCCACCTCCAAGCTCTCCTTTCAATTTTCCTGCTCTGACTTAAAAAAATGCAACTCATGTCACCTCTCCTA